TTTCCACAGTGGCTCTAACTCTCGGCCAGAGTCTCATGCGCTAAGCACTCTGCTATTTGAAATCCCATTACCTGCAACTCTGCTGACTGGCATCTCACAGATCAAAGGTACAATAATTGAGGAGACACTTCAATGACTTCTGAACCACTAGGAAAATATTTGATTGTGTTTAGGATAGTTTTAACATCGGCATGTCAGTGTATTCTGCATTTTTTTCATGCTTGCTCCAAGTACAGTCTATCAGTAAATGGCGCAGTAAAACATTCTAGTAAATCAAGATGGCATGAACAGGCTGAACAACAGACCAAAACCAGCCAAATAAGATTGACAAGAATTAATGCAATTGACATAAAGTCTGGCATTTAGATTTTAAAACTACTTAACAGAAGAGTCCTGGGTTAACACTTCCCAAAAGAAAGCCGTGAGGATTTAGACTGTCTTCTCAGCAGGGTACTGTGGCCTCTGAAGAAGTCAATCTTATCCAAGGTCAACTTAAAAAAAAGCGGGGGGTGGGCAGTGCAGGGTGGGTATAGCTCAGTGGTAGAGTGCGTATTTAGCATGCAGAAGGTCCCAGGTTCAATCCGTCGCACCTCCAATTTTAAAAAAAAAGTTTAAAAGAACTACACAAGTTATTTTTTTTAAAGAAAAGGAAAGAAAGGAGAAGGGGAGAGCAACCAAATCAAAGGGGGAGGGGGAAGAGTTTTACTCTACACTTTGCTCAGATCAGGTCTGTGAAGGACTGTGTCTAGTTCCTGAAGCCACATTTGGAGAGAAAAGGGACTGAGGATTTTTTTTCCCTAGCAACTACTTACAGAAGCGTTAATACCTGTCCTCAAATAGTTGATGGGTTTTCACACAGAAGAAACATTAAATTTAATCTGCCTAGCCCCAGTGCCCAGAACTAGGAGTCATGGGGAGTCGTGTCAGTGGAACACATTTCAGCTCCATATAAGGAAGAATTTTCTATAATTATGGTGATCTAAACATTGAACTTGGATGAGTCAGGAGGGACAAAAGAAGACTTCTAGGGGATGGTCATTTCTACTCTCTGCCTGTGTGGTAGGTACTTAAGTACTTTGTTTTATTATCATTCTTCAACTGACACACATAAATTTTCATATACTCTTTTGTCAATATGCTATATTTTAAAGTATATTTTAAAAATGCGGGTTGACTAGGTGTTGGGTAAAGCAATGACCTCATCATTGCGAGGGCTTGAGGAGAGGCTGGTGACATTTAGTGAGAGGATGGGATAGAGGACCTCTGACATTCATCCATCTCTACGATGCTACACCTCCCCAAAACACGTGTGCAATTATTAAAGGAAAGCTTTTCTAAACTATTCTTAAGGTGACTGCCTGTTAAGTAACTAGATCTGAGGCCTCACTCCATTTCCCACCACAGCCATTACTGATGTTTGTTAGACTATGATCCGCGAGTCTCTATGACAGCGATTATCACTTTTATTGGCTGTTATATAATAAGAATGAGATGGACACAGTCTCTGCCCTCTTAGGATGACAAATGATGTGGACCGTCATAAAGAGAACACAGAGAGAGCCGGATACGAACAGTGAATAAATACAAAAGGCAGCAAAATGCTTTATGTGGTGAACAGGTCAAGGCTTCAGGTCTTACAGGAGTGGGGAGCACATCCACAAAGGGTCTTGGAGAACACATCCTAGATTTGTTAAAACCAGGAAATGTAGCCCTCTGCTGCAACTAACATCAGCAGGCTGAGCCTTCAGAAATACATAGATTCCGGCAATCAAACATTTGGTTAGGGGAAGCTTTCTCCTAGGCTACGAGGGAAAAAAAGAGAAAAAGAGCCAAAATAGCTTAAGTGTCCATTTCCTCGTGCTAATCCTGTTCTCCTGTACTGTTCCTTCGTGATCTCTCACTACCCTCTCCTCTGAGCTGATGTGAGATGACGGAACCAAGACCTGAAAAAGGGAAATGAGAGGAAGGGGTATTTGCGGACTGTGATGGACGTGGAATTGGGGAGAGTCCTTGAGTCCTTAAGTCACTGCTAAACAAACAGTCAGGTTCTCTGCTCCTTCTGGCTGAGCCGTGACTTTGGGCAGCTACTTCTGCTTTGGACTCACTTAACCTTTAATCTGGGGATCCCCACCCATGTTACTGACATTAACTCTAGCCTCACAACAACCTTGAGCTGATGGGAAAAATAAACCAAAACAAAATCTTATGAGCTACTTGAGCCCAATGTGGTTAAAATGCAAATGATATTAAGTCAAAGTTTATTCTCTTATAATAATTTCTCTTCACTTTACTGAAGGGGAAACTGAGTCCCAAAGAGTGGAAATCAGTCAATTTCATATACACCCTTCAGTCTTTGACCTCATCGATATAAATAGTCTTAACGTTGCAGTATTTTTCTTTCTGGAAGTTCTTATCATGGTCATTTTATAAACAGGGAAACTGAGGCACAGGGTGATTGAAATGTATTGCCTCCACATAGCTGCATAAAATAGTGCCTAGGTGAGAAACTCAAGAACCTTAATTCTCAAGGCAAAATTCTTTTTCCATTAGATTCCTATCCATGTTTGGAAGGCAGCTATGCTCACAACTATACCACCAACGCCTCATGATTCCTATCCACGTTTGAAACATTAAATCCATACAAAGTTTGTAAAATTAGATGATAACTGCTATTAAGTCTGAGTTCTTGATACCAAGAACAGAGTAGGTTCTGGGGTGACAGCAAGAGGAATCAGGATCCTTGACCTTTGTAAAGGGTTTCATAGTTCCCCAGCGCTCCGCAGATGCTATTACACTCTGTCCCCATCAAGGACGTCATTAGCACCCCCTACCCCTTACAGATGAGGAGGCCGGAACTCGGAGACACTCAGTGGCTTATCAGGAAATATCGTTTGTTTGCAAAGGGCAGAACTGAGTCTAAAACTCAGGTCTTCTGTATCCAAGTTTAGTGATGACACACTGGGAAAAAGAGCCTATCTGATTTTTCCTGGGAGACTGAGGAAGGTGGGAAGAAGCCAGTCTCCACAGCACAGCAGCACAGCAGCAGAAAAGGAAATGATCATCATTAGGCATTTCAAACGATGATACAGAGCTGCTCTAGGCACTGCGGGGATCCACTGACTGCAGCTCTAACCTCTGAGGGCCTGCAATCTAAGACAAACACACTAAGAAGAACAAATACGGATGTGATCTCCAGATGCTATCTACCACAGTAGATCTACGACAGTAATCTATGACAAGGAGAGAGGGGAAAGCATTTACATCACACACGTGGCTAGCTACGTTCGGGATGTGGAGAATATAAGGGAATAAATGAAAATGGGAGCATAAAGAAGGGCGAGCCAGGGAAGGAAGAAACACACACACACACTAATCCAGGTACTTTTTTTTTAGCAGAAAAATTAATTTTAGGAGTTTCTCTCTCTCTCTCTCTTTTTAAGTTAATAAGCAATGGAGTAGCTGTGTTGCAACAAAAGCAGACTTGAGAGTATGAGATTTAAAACAGAAACTTATCCCAGGCATATGGAACAATTATAAAGATGGGTGGGAAGAAGGGCAGAATGCAGTCAGCGGAAAAAGAGGGCTTTGAGCAAGTGGAAATTCAAGAGAGATTACCTGTCCTGACTCTTAGACTGTGTCTAAGTGTTTCCACCCCTATGCTTTCAGAGCACTCATGCTCTCCACATGCAGGAACAAGAAGAATTTCTAAGTTGTGAAGCTGGTCAGCAGCAGATGAAGAGGGCAGCAGTGCCATGGTGAAGGATATAGTGGGTAGGGACCTTGCATACGCTAGGCAAGAAATCTGTAGCCATCTCAATCTCCCCAGATTCACAGGAGAGGTTCCCAGGGCAAAACTCATTTATCCAGACCCACAAATTGTTAGGGAATTTCCAGTTTGCTTTATCAAACCCATGTTCACCTGCCGAGTTTCAAGCTAGTGATTAGATTCAATATAAAAACTCTGCTGAGCTCTGCTGGCATATAAACATTTCTCAATATATCAGTGCAGACTCCAGCCAGGTAGAGATATTTGCTTCTATCTGCTAATTTTGTTTATTCAAGTCATCCCTTGTGACCCTAATTAGTCAGAGAAGCTGCAGCAGAGGACCACGAGGAGACTGGACTGAATAAGAACAGGCAAAGAGTTCCTCTACTGTGGTTCTGGCTTCTTGTACAACCCAGGGTCCCTGGAAGTGAAGTGCTGGCTTTAACCATGACAATTCGAGACATGAGCCACAGGTTAGCAATTCCAGACTTTTGGAAGAAGCTGCTTATTCCTGATCACCCTGGTTTCTGAGTTGAAACAATTACTAAGATTTGCATGGGTGGTATGAGAATTCGAGGATTTTTATGATGATTCTTATGATTATTTTTGCCAACATTTGTTCCTCTGCCATATTTATGTGCCATTCTGTTCTAATCACTCTACATGTATTAACAAATGTAATATAACCACATGAGTAGATACTATAGATATTATGTACATACAGAGGTTAAGTAACTTAACCGAGATCACACAGCTAGTAAATGAAGGCACTAGGACCTGACTACAATTTACATCAATTTAGCTAAATCCCAGTATTTTAAAAAGAATGTTCAACCAAACACCTGACACTTACATATAAGGCATTGTTCTAGGTACTATGCAGAAGATACAAAGGATATACAGACAGTTGCTACACTCAAGGAGCTCATGGTATAGTTGCAAATATTGGTAGTCCTCCCCATGGCACTAAAGTTTTGCTCATTTAATTCACAGTAAGATTTTCACACTGGAAAAGACCTTACATCACCAACGCTATGATTCCTTCTTTTTTCAACAGGAGAGTCAACTTTAGGCCCAGAGGGAACTAACTTACTGGTTAATTTACCAACAGCTAGAGAACGGCTTAGAAGCAAATCCAAAACTGGAAGCCAGCTTTCTAACAACTAATGGTGATGTTTCACGTTCTTTGTGGCATTCAGGATGTAAAGGTGTTATTACAACAACGGTACAAAACGAAGTTTTACTCCTTTATTGCAAACTGTCGTCCAGTTCTCCTTCAATTCCATTTCTCTTCTTCACTTCACTCCCATTGTTTATTCTGACTTACTTAAGCTTTACTAATCCTCACTCGTTTTTTTTCTCCCTTTGGAGTGAAACCAGGGCTGGACACTGCTCAGACATATGGGGCTAGGGATGGAGATAGTTCACTGCTTCAGATTCTTTGCCATTAGCGAACCTTAAAGGAAGAACAAAAAATGCTGTGGGCAAGATGTTTGTAATTGCTTGAGCAGGAACAAAAGAGAGAAGAAAAAGGAAAGGGAGATGTATTTGAACGACTTAGGGTGAAGCTGCTCAGATCTGACGAATGAAGACTAAATGCAGAGGAATGGAGACCAGCACGGAAACGTCACACTTCCCTTACTGGGGGTAAATGCCAAAGCACGGCGCCTCAGAAAAAGCCTCGCGGCTTCTTTCGTAAGTATCTGAAAAGGCCCTTTCTTGGAGGGTAGGGAACTCCGTCAGAGGTCAGCGGGTGTCTTCCCATTGTGCGGGCTCTC